TGCGGTGTGGGTGTGGATGTGGGTGTAGTTGTGCGGTGTGGGTGTGGGTGTTATTATTCTTTACACCCACACCCACACCCGAGCCCACACCCACATAACCCACATCCACATGTACACCACAGATCCTACAATCACACACACACCCACACCCAACCCCACACCCCACATCCACACCCACACCCTATCAATCAAAATTCTACTAATTAAAGATACTTCTATACATTTTTTTTAAAATAAATATTGTCCAAGTTCTGATGGAATATGGACAATAAAATGCCCAGTAAAAAAATATTCTGTCGTAATTTCATAAGAATTTCGGCAATTGTAGAAATTCGATAACGTTGTTCAAATTGTAGTAAAATTTCGAAACATGTCGAGATTCTACTACAATTTGGACATTATCGAAATTCAGATGGCGAAATTCTTTTTGTCAAAATTCCATTTTACCGTACAGACTAGATCTAGATGTCTAATAAATATGCTGTCCGTATTAGTCTTTCCTACGGGAAAAAACATACGAGAAGAGAATATTACTTGAAGGAGATCAAAACTTATTAGATACCATTTATGTATAATGAGAAATTGATGTTTTGCTTCACTTTTCTTTTGTTCTGTCATATGATTGCAATGAAGGTATATGCGAACATCTTGGTAAACTTTTTCTTCCTTGGAAAGAATACACACATATATAACCAATAGATAACTAACTAATGTGTAAATGAACAGAAATTTTCTTATTTTATAGATAAAGTTTTTTTAAAATGTCTTCAAATCAAATCCAACTATCAAAATTTGAATTAATACGCAATGAAGTTTTACTGGAAATTCTTGAGTATTTTTCATCCTATGATATATTTCAAACATTTTATTATCTCAATAAACGTTATAATGCTTTACTTTTTTCACTTTATCTTCGTATGGGTCTGCTAAATATATCGAAAAAGTCTTTCGATTATTATGATTATTATATATTTTCTCTTGTTGCAAAACATATTATTTCATTTCGTCGTGAAGATAAATTTGTTCGTTTATTATATCAAATTCTTTTATCTTATTTTATTTCAATAAAATATTTGACTATCTATAATATACATATTGAAAGTTGTCAATCTATTGTCTTACAGTTAAATAAATCACGACAACTTATTTATTTAAATCTATAGAATACAATCTGATAAGGGTGTGGGTGTGGGTGTGGATATGGGTGTGAATCTTCCGCCCATTTACACCCACACCCGCAAGAACATATAGTATGAAGCAAAACTACGAATCTTTCGAGCATGTGTAGTATCTATATTGTTACATGAAAGTGAAGTCTGGGCTTTAACTAATATTTAAGAGTAACGATTAAATTCCTATTACATGAAAAGTCGTCGAACAATCATTGGAGCAAATCTCGAAGATCGACTATCGAATACGAAAACATTAAAACTCACTGAACAGCCACAATTAGATATTATCATGAGAAGAAATAGGCTGAAATGTTTTGGTCATGTAAACAGGATGAATAAGGATAACAATAAACCGATGCTGCCGAAAAAACTTATGTTCTCTTATTTTCCAGGTGTCAATCGACCTCAACATCATGGCATTAGAGAAAGATATGAAGACAAGATAAAAGCTGACATCGAACAATCCGATAGTACCAACTGGAGACGAGACACCATGGATAGAAACAAATGGTGCCAGGTCATCAACCGATCCGTACACGTTTATATGCCAAGCTTCAGT